CATCCCTAGTTATAACCCCTGAATAATTAACTCATACAAGTAACCCTTAAATAAAGAACTCATACAAGTAACCCTTGAATTAACCCATATAAGTAACCCTGAAAAAAAAAATACAAGTAACCCCCCCCCCCCAAAAAAAAAAATCAAGTAACTCCTCAAAAAAAATACAAGTAACCCCTGAAAATACAAGTAACTCCTGAACAAGTAATCCATACAAATAACCTCTGAAAAAAATACAAGTAATCCCTGAAAAATATGAGTAACCCTGACAAAACCAGTAACCCCTGAAAAATACAAGTAACCCTGACAAAACCAGTAACCCCTAAAAAATACAAGTAACCCTGACAAAACCGGTAACCTCCGAAAAATACAAGTAACTTTGATAAAACCAGTAACCCCCAAAAAATACAAGTAACCCTGACAAAACCAGTAACCCCGTTATGCGAGTGAATAGTAACTCCGTTATACGAGTGTCTGAATCCGTTATTTTATTGACTTGGCAGCAGGCCACACCGTGTGGCCTGCTGCACCACAAAAACTCTGTAGAGGTTTTACCTTAATTCATACTCGACATGTCTTCAATTCTTCATTCGAGTGATGCTCTCAACTAAATATATTTATTTATCTTATTGTATCTTAGGCTCTCAGCGTAAGAATTCATTAAAATGCACCTTGCTGTTATGAGTAGTATATTAAATTCTATTATAACAATCATCATGAGGTGTATTAGGGATTCTTTTTTATCAACAATGATGTCGTCTTTTGCTGTTTCGCAAGTTTGGTCTACAATTTTATGTGAAATTTTAACCCAAGAAATAAAAGAAAAATAAAACGTTAATCTTGGGGCATAATAATGCTCATTTATAACTCGTTCAAGCTTGAAACAATTAATTTCACTGTTTTAATTATTCTTAAAATAGTACAATTTTAATATGGAACCAAATCAATTATAATAATCAATTATCGTATAAAATCAAATTAGCCATGTTAATAATACGGAGTATCATATAAAATTAAAATATATGGAGTATTATTGTTAAAAAAATGAATAGTATATTTGCTCAAATTTCTCATTTATAATATCAAATACTTATTACTGCCTATCTTGTTGTTATGATAAATATCATCAAACAACTTTTCTTATTGGAGTATACTTATAATTTTTCAAAATTGATTAATATTAGCTTAATTGAGCTCGTTCACGTTTGAGCTCGTTCACATTAGAGCTTGTTCAAGCTCAAGCTCGAATCACAAACGAATGAGCTCAAGCCGAGCTCGAACAAGGCAAAACCTTAATGAACAAAGCTCGAACACAGTACAAAATTATGAAGCTCGTTCAAGCTCGAGCATGTTCGAACACTTGAAATCTTTATCAAGCTTAGCTCGAACAAGTAAAAACTCGGCTCGGATCGTTTGCAGCCCTAGACATAATGCTACTTAAAGTAGTGCTTTTACCTAGAGTAATTTTTATATCTAAGGTTATAAATTGTTTGGAATTTTTTATTTCTTTGAAAAGACGACTTTAGTGTAAGTAGAATAGTAAATATATTTCATTTTGATTCAAACACGTAAATAAGTTAATGATATACCACAAATACGTACATTGTCGCTTTTCTTTCCCGTCTACCAAACGCAAAAAAAAAATGTCAATATCAATATTAATACGTTGAGCAGTATATCAATAAGCACCATTCGTCATTATGCGTGCCATTTAAACCCAAATTATTAATCTAAACAACATTTTTATAAAGAAACAACATCACCATCAAACTATATTAAAAAAATTTGCTCAAGTATTTCTTGGTTGGATAATTGCATTTTTTAAGCCTTAATAAGAAAAGGGTATCCCTTTCATTACGTCATGAATCATGAAAAGGATAGAGTTTAATATAAAAACGATGGCAAATAATAATACAATAAGCAATTTAATTATATACTAAGGCCTGTTTGGTTTGATGTAAAATGTTTTCATGGAAAATGAATTTTCCATTTTTTTCCCATTTTCCTTTGTTTGGTTTGTTAAGGAGTGGAAAACAATTTTTCAAGGGTGGAAAATTTCATCCTTAATGATGGAAAACATTTTCCTTCTAAAAACAAGGGAAGCCATATTTTCCTCTCTCCTCCTTACCTCTTTTTTTACTTCCCTCTCATTCATCCTTACATTTCCACTCTTATTTTTTATTTTTCTTGAACTTTTCTTGTATGCAACCAAACAAAGGAAAACTAATTTGCAATTGTGTTTTTCCTTGAAAATATGTTTTCCATAAAAACTAATTTTCCATTGAAAATGTTTTACATTAAATCAAACTGGGCCCAAATATCGACGAACTATCAAAATCATAACTTGGATATTAAAATACATGATTAATTTTTTATTAGAAAAACAATTCTATCTACATCAAGCTCTTAAACATTTTATTCTTTCATACTAAATTAATGTATTATGTATGTAAGTATGGCTTATAACGTGGAGACAATTCTTGAACGTGCAAATATGTAGCTTTTCACACGTCTCTTAATAAAAAGACTTTGATGAGACAATGTTCAACCATATTCACCTAACTATGTGAAGGCATGCATGGAGGGATGCCAAAATATATCCTTAAAATTTGTTCTATTCATCTTGTATTAAAAACTTATAATTGTAACTTATTTTTACCATAATTAAATCATATTAGAAGAGATAAGATAATTAAAAAAACACAATACACCACATCAAACTAATAACTAAGGGTATGTTCTCATTGACTGAACTGAGCTGAACTGAACTGAACTGAACTGAATATTTTATAAGAGAAATAAATTAGGAGCTGAACTAAACTGAAAATAATCGTATGAAAACAGAACTTAAGTCCAAAACACTTAAGCTTGAACTTTGAATGGAAATTAAAGAGCATATATTTATTTTGCATATTACTAGCGAGATAATGTATCCAATAATTTGTTTTTAAAAGATAATATATAAATTAGATTAGACATGTCTTTTCACAGATTATGACTCTTAGTATTAAATATCAAAAGATAACAACTTAATAAATACGAAATAATAATGATACATAAGCTAATATCTTTTTAAAAATCCGAGATTAAATGCACGAAGTAGTTTATTGTTCAAAAATAGATTGAGTATATAGTTGAACCATTGACAAGAAGCAATCCATGTAATGGCAAAGAAAGATAAGTATGCACTCGATCTGTTTTTTAAATTATTCAATTCCATATTGAATTTTAACAGTACTATGTACATACCTTACCGTGACCAAACATTTCTAGCTAATTATTTACAAAACAAATGTTATTACATAAAATGTTATAGATGTTGTCTCAATGTAAGTTTTCATATTAACTTATATATAAACATTTTAATTTTAGATAATTAGATACATGTATTAATGGTTAAAGTTGTAATTTGAAAGACGTAAAAACTAGCTAATGCGGATCAATTAAAAAACAAAAAATAACAAATGTAGCAATGAACACTCCTTAACTTCCTCAGCTAATAAAATAGGAGCTAGCCCCCGTTAATTTTTATGATGGCCGAGATTTGTCAATCAAATGGCATTGTTATTGTTATATACACCAACGAATAGTACCATCTTTGATAATTCAACGAAAACCTTATGAATAAAGGGCGAAATTAAAGGCATTGTCAACCCTAGAGGATGGGGTGACCACTGCACGTACGTCCTCTATTAAAGTATGTTTTGAGCTTGATATACATATTTGAAGATGGAATTGAAAATCGTGGGAATGGTGGGTATCAGGGGAGCAATAATTAAGAGGGGGAAGCTTTAAGTGAGGAGGAACAAGGAGGAGCAAGCTTCAATGTAGGATGGAGGAAGCTTTGGAGGATGGAGGAAACAGGAAGAAAAAAGTAACGGAGCTATTACTCAGTTTACAATTCATTCAAGTAAATTTACAACAACATCCCAAATAAGGATATGTTCACATTGACTGAACTGAGCTGAACTGAACATAACTTATTAGAGCTGAATTGAACTGAACTGAACTTATTAGAGCTGACCTAAACTGAACTGAATTGAACTAAACTGAACTTATTAGAGCTGAACTGAACTGAACTAAAATGAATATTTTATAAGAGAAGGAAATTAGGAGCTGAAGTGAACTGAACTTATTAGAGCTGAACTGAACTGAATTGAAAATAATTGTATGAGAACATGCCCTTTCATGAAAATGTTGGTTTTACCTTTATGATTAAAATATTTTGTCAATCATAAAGATTTAACTTGTATTTCCTCATTAAATACTTAGTGTCACACTGATTTTATAGTGTATACTTCTATTATAAATCCAAACAAAGATTGTATTTAATATGTGCTTAAGGGGTACAATAATTAATTTCTCATTTATCAAATTCTAAGAAAGATCAATTGTATAGCCCTTGTAGGGTAAGGGCCCTTGTAAGATCCAGCTGCTTAGGGATGATATTATAAATGGCTTAGCCTTCTTCAATAAGACTTGCTCTTGTCACGTCTATAAAGAAGCCAATCGAATAGTGTTATAGCTTTTATCTTTCTTTATATATGACATGCTACAATATTGAGAGAAGATTGCCTTAACAATTCTATCATATATCTTTTCTAATAACTTCAAAAGCAAACTTTCACTTATTTCGTTCCCTAAGCTAGTACTTCCTTTTTGATTTAATTGATTAAAGTTGCACAAATGGTCCTCCAAAAGTCCAAATCTCTTACCATTGATATATAGGAGTAGATGATTTTTAAGGACCATTTTCCTTGTAATAATCCAAAAAAGGGGAGCCTTGAGCCTTCAAGAGCCACTATTGCACTTCATAGGACTATAAGAGTGTGGCATGCTTTGCCCACAAAGTGGTGGATCGGGTTCGAAATTTATCAAACACCCGATATCCAAATGCACGGATATAAATTGGGTATTTAAGTATAAAATAGAGTATTCAAATAAATACCAATACACAAGTAAACAACAAAATAAGTCCAAATTTCAATAAAATTGCAAAATAAAATAATCCGATACAACAATACATAACTTCAATTAAATGTCAAGATACAATACATTTTTTTTTGATAAAAATTACAAAATGCTCCAAACTTTTCAGGGTCACACACTAGTACACTACAATAATTAAATAAGAAATTAATTAGTATTTAGTACTACATCTACTGCACAATTGCACATTAATTCATAATTCATTTAACAATCAAGTATTCAAGTGAATCAACACATTATGATATTAACAATTATTCAATTAAGAAACTCAAAAACTCAAATTTAAAACTCAAAGACAGAAATTGAAAATAAAAAACAGTAAGTTGTGAGAAAGTTACCTCGAGTTCGACGCAGGCTAGCAGCAGATCGTTGGCGTCGCTTTCATGGCCTCGTCTGTGAGCAGTGGCGACAGGCGTGTCTCGGTGCGGCGGCCAGAGAAGTGAGAAAAAATGGAGAAAGATAGTAAGGGTTTTAGCAGTTTGTGTCTTTGTGAGAATTGACAAAAGAAAGGGAACAAAGAACGAAAGTTACAGGGAAAAAAAGGGAGAAAAGAAAAAAGAAAAAAGAAAAAAAATGTAAAATTGCGCGTCCTAGAAGGAGAACCCGTGTCTGTTGTCCAATTTGAGAGTTACTAAACCAACTGAGCTCGCGCCTAACATAGTATTTATTTGTTTCAAATATTTTATTTATAGGTTTTCTATATATTTTTTTTAAATAAGATTCCTATTTTTTTTTCCGGATCTAACGGGGTTCAATTGAACCCCTTGAACCCCCGCTGGATCCGCCACTGAACCTCACTTACCTCAGCATTAAAAAAAAAAAACTAAAAGAACATTGAAAAGTCTTATTTGTGGGGAGTTATAAATAATAGTGTAGGAAACAATTATAGTGTTTGGATATTTTAATAGGGACTCTTTAAAGTGTCCTGAGAATTGAGGAATAGATTTGAAGAGAGTCGTGTTAAAATAAAGTCTATTGCACTTTATGTGTATAGAGTGTGTGAAAAAAATACTGTAGAAAACAAAGGATTCAGAGAGAAGTTTACGTACAATACAAAGGAGGTAGCAAATAGATCGTCGTTCAATTTGGTTCAAGTCTAAGTTGCTCGAATGAGGAAACTCTCAGGTTAAGTACAAGTCACGTTCGGATAAGGAGACTTTCGTGTCATGTATATATCATATCTATGTGAGTCAGATAATTAATTTCATCTCTATTGATAAATAGCCTATTTTGATAATTAAATCATCAATTTCAAATTATTAGATTTGATTTCGGTGGAAATGGTTGTTATTATAAGGTCAATTTCACTCATTTTGTTTGAGGTATGGTTGGAGTTCGAATTAAATCCGATTTCGAATTATTTAGCTTTAGGTATGAGTTCAAATCAATTTAGTTAATATAGCTACAATACATATATATCTAATGACCATGTATGTAGTTACTCATAATTTATTTATTTTTTTGATCAATGTAGTTACTCATAATAATATCATTAGCATTGCTATCTTATCTTATTTGAAACATTTGCTATAAATGGGTGTTCGTTATTATGTGTAACAATTTTTTATCTTTCCTCTTTTAGTAAATTATAAAGTGTAAAAAAACCATCTTACCAAACTTAAACATATGGGACCAGTTTCTCTCTCCTATTTCCCACTCACTTTAACCCACTAACAAACTTAAACATATGTGACCACTTTCTCTCTCCTATTTCCCTCCTTTTTACAAGTTAATTAAACCCACCTAAACTTAATTAAACTACACTAAAAGTTTTGCCTAGGAGTCCGGAAAAAGGACATTTGGTGCAGATAATCGTGGGCGGAGGAAGTATATGTGTTTTACCATCACTAAGGGCCTGTTCTCATTGACTTAACTCAGTTGAACTGAAGTGAGCTGAACTGAACTGAACTAAACTAAACTAAACTGAAAATAAACGTATGAGAATAGACCCTAAATTGCTTAAAAATAAGGTTATATGTACAACATACAACTTTAATTAAAATCGGGGTTTTGGAAACAACTGTTTCTGTTTTTCCCCCCTATAATAACTTGGCTATTTAGACAAATGTCACTTGTACTCCATAGTTACTACCTCTCTATTCTATATTATTATGATTATTGTTCTTATCAATAAATTTAGAAAAACAAGTACTTAGCAATTAAGGTTTGTCTAAAAATATGTGGTTGACTTAATTAATAAAAATTGCAATAGTGCACATCAATACTACTCTAACAAGGTAATGGATGAAGTAGGACAACCACATCAAGAGTAAAGACCAATTGAATCAACCAAGTGAGTGACATACTTTTGCCAAGTGTTAGGTTGAATGATCATATCATACCAAATTGAGGTGCAAATCAAATTAAGCTTCATAATAAATAATAAAGAAATAAATACTATATAAATAAATATGTTATTAAATACTTAGATAATTAAGTAATAAATCCCAAAAAAAATGTTATCATATGCTTTGCTGTTGCCTGTTAGGCAGCATATGATTTGATTGGTTTAATGAGCTCAACGTTAGATATTGACCCTACGTACGATGGCCTTATGACACCCACTATTGGTCCACACAATTATTTGCGATTCATAGAAGCTACAAAATTTCGTGAATTTTGACTTTTAAAGAACAAAAAAAAAAAAAAAAAAGAGGGCATAAAATTCTGTAAAATAATATTGGCAAGCCATGTAAAAAGGACCACATTAGACATCACTAAGACACTAACTATTGAAAGCAACTTCCTTTTTCATATCAACGTTCCATTTTTTTTACAAGGCAGGTGTTGTCGTGCGAATCAACTTTGGTTATTCATCAATTTATTGTTTCTATATACACATGATGTATGCATAGTTCAAAAGTGTATGAGTGTATCTCTTAATTCTAAAGAATTGTGTAGTACTACGTTTTATTATGTTAGTTTTGTAATTTATCTAATTTGTGTAGAGTTGGAAAATAAGGTGAGCTTGTATTTAATATGTTGATTCTTCTCAACCCTAATTCGACCTTTTTAAATATATAGATCAGCAACCATCTACACTAACCCAAGTATGTTGTATATAGCTCCCTCAACTCGCTTGATAACTCATTTTCCACATGCACACATTAACATTAATCAAACAAATTATTAGTGGTAATTTATTGACTCACTTTATCAATACAATTACAAATGTCAACATTTTAATGAGAGTATATATAGTGGTCATGAGCTTCAATCATTAGCATAATCTTTTGGTTGAATTGATCCCATAACATTGTAAATTAAGAGTCATTGAGCTGGTATGACTATAATGATAAGAGTTTAATTCTCATCCATTCTTCCCTTCCAAGTGAAATATTTTGCACTGGGCATGTAGGAGGCCCATGTTGCATCTACGTTTTAAGTTCATCTGATGTGAGGAGACTTGATAATATAAAAATTATTCTAATCTAAAACCATCGGTTTAAACTTTTGGTTGAATTGGTCATTTAACCTGATATTAAAAACCTACATGACAAAAAGGTCACGAGTTTAAATCTCATCCACCCAACTTTTTAGGAGAAAAACTCCAAGTATGAGGAGAGGTAGGTCATGTTAAGCTTTTGTCATCCTAATTTTGCTCGCTAAAAAACAAATTCAAAGTCTTGATATCTACTTATCATAAATTAAAATGAAAATAGTTTGGTATGGTTCCCCCCCCCCCCTATTTTTATTTGATTTGGAACCCAAGAACAAAGCAACAACAAAAAAACAAAAAACACAACAAAAGCAACACTAAGCGAAAGGCCATGCAACAACATGACACCCTCCTAGCCAAGTAGCCAACATCACATAGCTCAATCCCTCCAATAAAATAGCACAAAGGCCATCCGAGACCACCTCAAACACTACCAACTTTTGTTTCTTTGGTGGTGATTTTCTTTTTTCCTTGAGCATTTGTAAAATATGATTAATTTTTTGGTAGTTGTACAAAAATCAACACAAACTTATTGTTTATAATTAGTCTTTATTCTAGACTTCTAGAGTTCTAGTAGATACTTGAATAACCTAATTCTAAATTTTCTAGTTTATTTACAAATAGCCAAAAGCTTATAGTTACCATTGAGGGATTACCAATAATTAGAAGCATTACATCCTTAATGCTAAAACAAATACCTTAAAAAAATGGAACCAAATAATAACATACTAGATTAGTCCCGTGAGATGCACGGAAATATAGAGTATATATATTTTATGTATTATTACGTATCAGAAAAATTATTGAGATATAACCATTAGTTGTAAATGCTTATTTTATAAAATTAATTTTGAAGGAGAACAAACCGAATATGAAAATTTAAGCACATACATAAAAGTTAGATTTTTAATATACGAAAATAATTAAACAAATAAATAATGATTTTAAACTTGTAATATATACAGGAAAATAGAAAAAATGTATACATCAAAGAATTTTGTTCGATGAAGCATAAGGGAAAGATGTATTAGATACCAATAGTTGGTGATAGAAGAAAGATAAATAAATTAAAGAGTAGATAAATTGAGAGGAGGAGAAATTAAATTTGAAACCAAAGAAAATATAATGACGTTAGATTTTTATTTAGGCGGGAAATTTTTTCTTATAAAGCTGCCACATGGACAATATGATGTCAGCGGTTGTTCCTTTAGTTTATTTATAGAATAGATTGATTCAATCATGTACAAATTCTTATGAATACTCTAGATGTTAATTACCACCTATTAGGCTTTACAAGTTCAACTATAATTGGTATAAGCCTCTTGACAATTATTTGGGTTCAATTTACTCCAATTGAGCCGGTCCATAAATGATTCAATTACTATAAAATAATTCCTAATTAATTAATTAGGAAAATACGTATGAAAATACGGGTATTACAACTATCATTAGCCCCTCCTCCATCATATTTTATAAGTTGCAACATTTCTTCTTCATTATTGTTTCGGGGTTTTCTGATGTCCTGCGGGAGAGTTACAATTCCGAGACTGGAACCGGACGCCTGTACCTGCAAAATAACGGAGACTCCTGAGAGCTCCGCCTCCAACGGTCAAGTTAGTACCTGATTAAGGAGTCATTAATACAGAAATTAAAGTAATGAGATCTCTCTAGGTGAGAGTGCTTAGTGTTGGTAATCTGCGTCGTTAGCGAGATTAGCCGGTTGTTAATAACTCTGTTCTTCTCTGCTTGATTTCTTGATTGTTCGATCGTCATTAATGAGGATTAATTAAGTATTTATAGCCTTGAGAAGCGTGTCACTCTCTAGGTTTAGGGTAAACCTAGGGCTGGTCGGGCCTCTAGACTGGATTGGGCCTTGATGGCCGGTTTTCCCATTTGGCATGGGTGGACACGTGGCGTGTCTAAAGTGGTCCGTAGAGGACGTATCTGTGGTTGATACGTGGCAGGCTCCTGTTGGCCTTCGTGAAGGACACGTGGCGGAACCTGGTTGGTCCATTTGTCAGACGGTGATTGGTGGATAAAAATCCCCTAATCATTTGCCCCTCACAGGTGGCACGTGACTGGTCACATGTCGCCTGTGACAGGTGTCGCACGGTGACAGGCGACGGCCTGCTACAGGTGTCACCTTGCAAACGGCCGAGAGATTTTCCCGCCCAAATTTTGAATTTGGAAGCGACCCTTCGCCTTCTCACTTTGCCTATAAAAGGAAGTGCTGACTTCGGTCATTTTCACATTTGAGAACTTTGCGAGAACATTCGGACCCCTGAACTTGCTCTGACATTTCGGACCTTTTCTGCCTACCGCCTGTTCTGACAAGCCGACTGACCCGAACTTCCAGGACTTCGTCAACCGTCACTCGTTCAGGTAACTCAGTTCTCTTACTCTTAATTTTCTTTTTATTTTTTAAAATGGCACCATGGAAGCACACGA